AAAATATTCAAATCAAATGTATGTCAATTATTTAGATATTATATTATGTCTGCGTGTGTGTGCATTTGGTTACTTTTATTCGCCGTGTACCTAATAACTTATGGTAACGGAGTAAAGAGTAACGGGTATAGTTTAATTACTGGGAACTTAATATTTTGAAAATGTTAACATTTCTAGCCCCTGTTCTTTTATCCTATAGTTGCCCTAGAAACATACATATATGTATACAAGTACATAATAGTAGGTATACGTCGACATTGTTGTGGGTAATTAATGATATTGTTCATTCCGGTTAAACGATGCAAATGACCGCAATTTATTATACATTTATATATGTTGTGATCGTTGAATAATTTATACGCGCTCGTATCCCATATCGTCGTGGCGCGCAAAATTTCTTTCTAACGGTTCGCGGTGCGCGTAGTAAGGCTGCGGAGAAAAAATTTTGCGCCTAAGCCAATAATGCAACGCGTAAATCTACCGGTTTGCCGCCTACGCCGTCCAACGACCGATCCATGCATGCATTATTATATTACAGTACGAGTAGGGTCCCACTCGGCTGCTTATCACCCAATTTAAAATAATGTACAAAAAAAAAAAAATCTCAACAACCTAACCGGATCTCAACCACTCTCTTCTACAAATAGATCTGTTTCGCCGTGATATATCGACATATTATCGTATGATTTCAAGAACGAGTTATCAACAGAGTGATCCACCAAGCATGCGCACCCCCGTTTTCAAATACCCAATGAATTTATTCAGATCCTGATTTTTGGAATTACTTAATAACGATATACTTATAGACAGTATTTTCAAATTGTTGAGATTTTTCGTGGTGCTCAATTAAGGACGATGTCTCGTGGTGATACAAATGAATTTCTGCAAATGACTGTTTCAATCTGTTTCAAATGAGTACCCCAATTTTTTACTGTAAGTAATTTAGTGGAAAATTAATCTAATATAATCAGATTTGGAATAACTGTTTTATTGGAGAATAAATGGGGTGAGAAATTAGCATGCTCGGCGAACCACACTGCAGTAGATATTATGTCACTTCTGCTAGGTCTTCTTTATCGATTTACAATATTTAAAAATATCGCATTCTTAAAATCACAACACCAAATTAAACTGCAAAACTCAGCACATCACAATCAACTCCACAACACTTGGATTTAATAACAATTGAATCCAATAGCTTCGTGGAGGATTATAATCGACTTTATGTAGTTTGAATTATATTATATACAACAATATATTATAACCATCACAATTTTTATTATATTATGTATAATGCTGCTGAATTCCGATTATATTTTAATGTACATATTTTATGCATCCACGCACATTATACTATAATAATGATGTTTAGATAACAATTACTGTTGTTTTAATTTATTTCCGTGTACATATTATATGTAAATACTATTATACTATACTCGTTACATGTTGGCAGCAACAGTTTCATTTAACGCAGTGGTCGTTAANGATTAAATAACAATTGAATCCAATAGCTTCGTGGAGGATTATAATCGACTTTATGTAGTTTGAATTATATTATATACAACAATATATTATAACCATCACAATTTTTATTATATTATGTATAATGCTGCTGAATTCCGATTATATTTTAATGTACATATTTTATGCATCCACGCACATTATACTATAATAATGATGTTTAGATAACAATTACTGTTGTTTTAATTTATTTCCGTGTACATATTATATGTAAATACTATTATACTATACTCGTTACATGTTGGCAGCAACAGTTTCATTTAACGCAGTGGTCGTTAATCCAAATTGTGTATAATGACGTGTAATTATTATTTATTATTTTATAACTCCTCCGACTTATCTGATTGCCCTTATCGAGCACGTCGTGTTCATTATTCATAATTAATAATATAATACGTATCAGTATCTACAGAATACAGACACATGTTAATACGATTCGGTTTATCACAATATAAAACGTATTAAAATTGAAGTATAGGACCAAAAAATATATATAGAGGCACCGTATGGTTTTATAATTTTCTTGTTTTTTTTTTTTTTAATATTCATCTCCTTTTTTTTGGATAAAAGTAAGCGTATTAAAAAACTCTTATAAAATATCATATATTATATGAGAATGTCTGCGCACTGTTCTCTGTAACTGACCCATATGCAGCCATTCAACAAAGACAAAACGCATGCACACAAAATCATTTTTTTTTTATGTTTTTGAGTAATCTCACAGTAAAATCACCCATTACAACAATTAATAAAAGTAATATTTTTGAGAACATGACGTATCGGTTTGTCTAAATACTGTCTCAAAACAATTTAATTGCCACTTATAAATATACAAAAAAATATTTTTAACTTTAGTTTAATATAATGTAAAACCGATAAATCAAATTCTACCTGCAGAAATATTATCCACAATAATTTTTTAATTGGTGATTTTACTCTAGGATTAATCAAAAATCATAAAACATAACGATTTATCTACGTTGAAAAATGTATTCCACTTAATTTATTATTTAAAATAACAAACAGTAAATTGAATACTGATACAAACTTTTTTCTCTGTAGTTGAGTTTACTATAGATTTTTGAAAACGTCTTTAGTTCGTCTTATTTTTTTGTGTTCTTCATGAATCATTATTCTTTCTATCCATGTATATTGTATATTATAGCATTATCATTTATCTTAATAGGTTTGCTTTTTTTTTTTTTTTTTAATAGAAAATTTACAATCTGTATTACATAACACAATAAGTAAAAAAAGTGACCGACATAACACTACATATACATAATAAAAAGAATACATGAAGCACAAGATGAGGGAAATCATCCAGCGTACCCTCCAGTAATTTTTTTTTATTCATTAATTTAATAGGTCACATTATTTTCGCACCAATTTCTTTCGGTGGGTTGTTAGGAAGTGATCTTAGGCGAGAGACTAAAGGATTAGGATTGTGTTGCAGTTTAGAGTGAAATCTGTTATAGTGCAATTTAGCTATAGTTGGTCAACTGTTGGAATAATAGGTGTAGTTAAGAACATTTTAATTTCAAAAACAAATTGAACGCTAAATGAATCGTACATAATCGAAAAGTTATTCGCTTTTTTTTTTTAAATTACCCAAGTGGCCATAGGTATGTCAAACCGTCGTCGTCCGAATCGGTTTCCTCAGCAATATGGAGATATAATAATACGATTTGAGACAAATAATAGTGAACCAGTTTGACATCATGCCGAAATCTTTGCGCACGCTTCTATATAAGTGCACGAGTCGATATCGTATATTAGTATATGGAAGTTTCACAATGCAATAATACAATATCGTTATTCGTTACACAATGCCCAACGGACAAGGAAAACATAATGCGTTTGGAACGTAAACCACGTAGTATAATAATACTGCGGCAACGAGCATATGACAACGGTCGACGATATTATATCACTATTATTTTATATGGTTGTTAAAATCGTATTTCGGAACGGTTTTTAAAAATAATCTTTTTTTATTGTTCGCGGGAAAAATCCAGTTGTACGACACGCGTACTCTGCTGTGACGTTAATTTTATCGAAGTCGCGAGTCGATAGTATTTCATAGTAGTAACTAATATTTTTAATATTTTTTCACTATTTAAAAAAAAAAAATATTATTAAATTATAAATTTTAATATTATTGCTGTCTTTGGAAGGCAACAGCAGTGCGCAAGTGCGTTTATTGTTATTTTCAGTTGAATTATCTGCCGATGTACATAATGAAATGAAATTATGATGCAGGTATAACTTAACGTATTGTTGGGCTAACCTAACCTATTACTCATTACTATATTAGTGATTATTTAAGTGCATGAATTTATTTTCCAATTTTATCGACTGCGGGATCAGCATTTTTGTTCAAACGATATTAATCGAATTCCTTGTTCAAAAGCCATCTGCAAAAACGCATGGCCATTAGGTATATGACGCCGATTAGTGTCATTTACGTTTCATCACATTTCAAATCACCTCATTACAACTTACAATATCCAGTTTATAATGCAATGTAGGTTTGATTGAAAACGGACATCGCTCGTCGGAGAACAACAGAAAACGTCTACTTTGCCCGTTTTTCGTAAGCGCCTATAATGCTTAAGTATTTTAAGTGCCTTATTGTAGTACATAGCCTAGTATTAATTATTTAATCATAAAAAACCGATACTACAATGATATCATAATATATAAGATGTTATGATAAACTGGGACAAAGTTTGTGATTTCGGACAGGCATGGACAAATTAATATTTGGCAACCCTTCACAAACGTATGTGGGGCAAATACTTCATAGACAATAAAAAAATGATGAAGGTTCCTCAGGCATGATAATACACCATCAGTTTGCTGTATTCGTCATAATAATTAATATTTGTCAATGATTACAATTAGATTAAAATATAAGTCCTCTACCCGAACTAAAAATACTATACATTTCATAAAATTATAAAATTATTTAATATTTGAAAATGTTTAAAAAATGCATTGCCTAAATTTTTTCTCAACAAATGATTACATAGAATTCACAACAACAACAATAACAGTTAAACCTTATTATTCAGTTTCTGTTATACTAATTTAATAGCTATATATAAACTATAAGACAAAATTATCTAAAATTTAATAGTCGTCGCCACAGTAAATAAGTGCTGAGCGGATACGTTATAGAAATTACTCGTTAGCAACGCAACCCCATCGAGAATTTTCCGGTTTTCCGATGGCCCCAGTGGCGTACATTCAAATTTGATCTGGGGGGGGTTTAAAAAAAATAACCAACACTAAAACTTTCCCTTTAAAAGTACCCATTTTCTTAACAATCAAATACATTACACGTATAAATATTAATAGGCAAAACAGCAAAACAAATACAAAGGTTTACATAACTCATGGCAGTAAAATATTATTTAATATGCACTTAGTAAATACAGATAATTATATATATATATTATATTATTAATTATTTATAACAAAAATTCTAATCTCCTTTTTTTATTGGATAGTTCAACCAGCACTTCATCAGGAGTAATTGAATCATTTTTATTGATCGATAGCATTGCTAGACCATTAAGTCTTCCCTATCAAAATGAATTACAACATTAAATTAAGTTGAATCTTTATAATCATTAATACTTTTATTTAAATTAAACATACCTACCTCAGAAGTAGAGTTGCGTATGTAAGTTTTTATTCTCTTGAGAGTTGAGAATGTCCTTTCATTAGTGGCAGAAGAAACTGGTAAAGTTGCTAATATTTTAAGTAACTTAAAAATATTTGGGTACATGGCTTCATTACATATGTAAATAGCGTCCATTGCATTTTTTGGTTTATCCGTTTCTGATAAACATTTAAGTTTTCGTTGCCAAAGTTTGAACTCATTTTTGAATACCTCATCACAATTTCCAATATCTTCTAGATCTTCGATATACTGTTTTGTAAGAGATATAAAATCTTCTTCAAAACCACTTTCTTTGAATAAGGAATGGAAGCTTGTCAATGTACTTTGGTGATTTGTAAATCTTTCTTCCAATTCATTAATGAATTTGTCTATGTACGGAATAAATACTGATACACGATAAAATATTTCTGGATCGTTTGTTTGAATGTTACACCTGTTGGTTTGTCTTTTTGATATTCTTGGCATGTTTATCGCAATGTCAATTTTCTCAGCCAGTGATTTATATATTAATATGTACCTATGCAATTAACTGACTGTGTACGATCAAGTGTACATACTACATAATATAGTGTACATATTTTAAGTGTATATACGGCAACCATAATTTCGTTTTGAAATCTTTTTTCGTTGTTGGTAAAGTATAGTGTTTACTCAATAGTCATATTATTATGACGTTTGTTTGTCCGTGTATCATAAGAAATTCATCAATAATATCACATATTTTTTTTTTTTTTTGGTCCTGGGGGGGGGTTTGAACCCGAAAACCCCCCCCCCCCGTATGTACGCCACTGGATGGCCCAATCCGTTCGTGAATTGCCATAAAAAATGCTTAAAAATCAGTTCATAGTTTTTCGGGAGCGTTGAGCATAAACAGTCTATTTTACGCTTTATATACATTTAGGTATCTATAAACCTACTTTGTATTGTATACTGCAAAGTGTAAACAGTACGGCAATTGACACTGTTTGTTCATTAACACTACACAGAGCATTGTGTAAAATACTAAAATATTACACGGTCATTATTTTTGTAATAATAATTTAAATAAATCGTTTATTTACGTTCACCCGTGTATGTATTATTGAAATATATGTTATTATATTCACGCAATGTTTATATAATAATATTAAAATGAGGAAAATAATTGCTCATGACATCTATTATTTTTTTTAAACATTCTATATTTTCTATTCATGTCAGCTATGTTTACTATAGCACTATAATACATCACACATCTTTGACCAAACTGTATTATGTGTATGATTATAAATGATTGTATCTACTATTGTAAACATTATCCCTGTAAATCACAATTAGTTATTGTTGTCTTGTTGACTAGTTCATTGACCTAACTATGTGATCGAAAGGATTAAATACAAATAACATGAATCATTATTTGCATCATTTATTTTAATTATTTATTGTTAATAATTAATAAATAATATAATATTGTGATTGAGTATGCGACACAGCATTTTCAGATAAATATCAGATCATATAACTGCTATTCTACGTTTGAGTTCAAAGTTAACGACACCATTTGCAGATTCCATACTCGAAATCAAATTCATAAAAATATAGTTATTTTTATCACTATTATAATATTATAGTCATGAATCTAGTTGAATGTAACGATGTTTCGGATGCAACGGAATAGTGATTCTTGTGAAAACTTTTTCGTGTCCATGTAATTTATCTATTTTTATAATAAATTATATTCTGTGTTGGTATAACACGTTGTTCACTATAAAAAAAACGTCGAGTTCAAAGGAATATTATACCAGTTAATGGTTACAAATTGTAATTATATGTGCCACTGAGATTTTTAATTCAACATTTTTTAATAATTTTCAAACCCATTTTGAATTAATATGTGTTTAAATTTATGACCACCATCATTACGTACAATGAGGAAATTTCAATAATGATATGTGCAAGCGAATATTATGAATTATGGCGAACGGGAAAATATATGCATACATATATTTTATGATAAACGAATACAATATGATAATTAAAATGTCTCAATACAATATAATATGTTAATACGAGAAACAAGAATTAAAACTACTTAACTGCGTACTATGGTTGTGATAATCTATACATATACTATTATTTAGTGTAATAGTTATTTACGCATTAACGAACAATATGGTAAAACGCCATCGTTTAATCGAAGTGCAGCTACTTACCGGATTGTATCTAAATAATATATATATTATGTAACTTGAACAACATAAATGTTTCATTTTTCTTTAAAAAAAGTGATTTTAACACCATCTCTTCGAGTATCCCATATTGTTAGTTGTAACTCGGTGCGATGATAATGTTATTGTCGATAGTCAATATAATATAATGCAGAAATATCATGGGACCTACGAGTTTTATTGTTCCGTCGCATATGCGTATTCAAACTCCCGAAAACAATAATATCGGTTTTCTACTTTCTAGGCGTCACCGTCCGAGATAAATCATATCGGGGGCGCCCAGGCGCGTGGAATAAGTACCGTAGAGGAGACGGAAAATAATAAGAGAGAGAGAGAGAGAGAGAGAGAGAGAGAGAGAGCGGATAAAAAATTCACTATACGGGTCGATAGTAATAATATTATATTATTATTGCGAGTCGTAACCGTGGTCGCGGTATATCAATATAATGCAGTGGCGGCCGTTGGATACATAATACCATTATAATATTATTATTATTATTATTATTATTATTATTATTACTATTATATACCGACCTACCTATACTCTATCGAATATTATATAGGTATACAGCAGTGGTTTTGCTAGACTGGTTTAATGATTTGGGTCTTCTGGCTAGTGTCGACCGTGCACACACGCGTATAATATTATAAGCGCCCGCGCGCGCGCGAACTCGAAACCGGTTTGCGCGGACGAATCGCCGGCCGAGGGGAACGGTCTCTCGGAGAGCGCGCGCGCGCGAGCGATCAGATTGTGTGTGTGTGTGTGTGTGTGTGCGTGTGCGTGTGTCGTCCGTAAACTTCGGTTGCCTTGAGTTTACGAGATATTATTATTATTATTATTATTATTATTGTCGTTCTGCGTAATGGCGAGATGATAAAAAGAGGAAGAATATTATTATAATAATAATAATTCGATAAACAAAAATGAACCGTACGGAGAGAAAACCGTGTAAGGGGGGGGGGCACCCGCGCCCACGTCGTTGGCGTCGCGGCGTATACCGAGTGATCGATTTAACGCACGATGCGTCGGTCATAGTTTCGAAAACTATTACAAATGATATCAAGCCGTCGTTAAAAAGCTACTACATTTTAGACTTAATATATTTTTACTATTTTATCATCGCCGTAATTTCTTATACCACCACAACACTGACAACTTCACTTTTTCCAAAAACTTTGTTTTGTCGTAACGATTGATCACTCCGTATACAATATTGTTATATTATCATCATCGTCGTCATATGGACTGAGCAGTTGTAAATAATATAATAACACTATTTAGTACTACTACTACGACTACTACTGCAACTGCTATTATTACCATTTTTACTATTATTTACTAAATTACTGCAACGTCGTCGGCGGGATGATCCCTCCTCCTTGGTCGTCCTTCCATCCTTTCAGCATATTATTATTATTATTAAACTCGATATCGTCACGAGACGTCGCGCGGGACCGGTTCTCCCTGCTGACGTTTCGTTGGCACAGCGGCCGCAGTTGCACCGCGAGGTTCTGTACCGAATATCCGATTATAACAATATTATTTATAATAAATATTAAATAATAAGAATAAGAATAATATAATACAGTACACGCGGACCGGACGGGGAAAAAGCTAGGCGATAAAACGCTCGCCGAAGGTTACGCTATAGGTATAGCTGATTACTTACTGGTGAAGTGGTGACATTGGGTTTTCGAGGTTTTCGCTACAGCTACCGAGGAACTAAAATTGTTGTGAGCTGCGCATATTATTGTGCCGATATTGCTGCATCGCGCGGTCGTTATGGACGTCGTCGGATACGAACCCGATACGATGGAAATATCACTCACTACAACGTATAAGACACATTTATAACGTAAATACTCGAGCGTCAACTGCATTTCTGTTTGCCGAATGAGAAAAATATCGTGAAGAATACATTCGACGATGACGTCGCTGGACCTGACCACACCAGACCTGAATTGACCTGACCAGACCTGCAGATATCAGGCTCGGGATGTGAGAGACACGACTGTGTGTAGTCTATAACGTCATTGTATATGCCTCCGTTTTGTTGTAGTAGGTATAAAGCGGCTAGCGTGTGTGCTGACTGCGGGGGTTTATGCATATAATATTATACTTCGTCGATTTATTGTACGATTATACACAGCGATCTGAAGGCCCCGCAAAAAAAAAAACCCCCGGCAATATTGATATATAATTCGTGTGCAACAACCGAGAACGTTACTCCACATTAGTCGTCACCAATAAACGTCGCTGCAGATTCACCCTCCGAACAGCTTGTGAGCCGCTGGGTTGAACCCGAAAATATGATTAATTATTATCATTAACTGCAGCGGTGACACCGGCGGGAGTGGCTCGTCGTCAGCAGCTGTACGATATAAGATTACATAGAAGTGACCGTGGATCGTATCTGCCGCGACCTTTGCGTGGCTTTTGCCGAGCACACCACCGACATCGCCGTCGATTAGAACGCTGCTCATATTATATCGTACTACAAGGAGTAAGGATTATGGTGGCCAATTAAAGCGGCCATCGGTCATCCTTCCGCACGTCACACGTCTCCCGGGACCTGTTGCGCAAAGGTCGTCAAAGGTCGAGAGTTTGGTTGATGGGCAAAGATTGTTTGGCCGGCCAGCAGATGTCGAAGGACTCTTGCGAATCGTGATCATGTAGACATCTGTTCGATCTGTGTAATTATATTATGTATAGCGAACGGCGAACGGCAAATGTATAATGTATTATAATTTATAATATTATATTTTCATAGTTTTCGGAACCATCGCATGCACGGCAATTGCGTGGAGTGGCTCGAGGAATCGTCCGCGAGTAGAATGTACGTAACATAACGCCTACCGATGAAATAAAAATAAAAAACCGAAAAAAATTGATTAGATCGGTTTTTTTACAAGAAACTCGTGTTAACGCGATATTATTCAGTCACGCGGACGGGGTTATATAGGCGCGGTGCTCACGTCGTGTGTCAACTGGTCGCGGCGGAGGGGATACCTATGTATACCACATTATACCTATATATATATATAGGCATCTGGCATATATAGGCACGATTTGTACATGTATACACTGTTTTCCTCCTATGACCCTCAGCCCGTACAGGTTTTTTATTTATTTTTTATTGGAATTGAAATTGATCTTGCACCGTCCAACGAATGTGCATAGAAAATAATATCGATACAACAATTATTATTTTCTTTAAACCTTATAGGCACGCGCAAAGAAATGTATAATATTATAAA